AGCGCAACGCCTCTCTTTGCCCAGTTGTGCTTCTTTCTCTTCTCTTCCATGGATGTTGATTCTAAGAGGACACCCTAATAAACCCCCCTACTCTAATCACAAATATCATCTTGATATCATCAACTGTGCTATCACATCTGATGGTGTGAAAAATATCACACTAGGTATTTGAAAGTTCTGTCTAGAATTTCATTGATGAGCAGGTATTAATCGATCATTTATTACTTACTAGGTATTAAAGATACTTAAAATGAATAAAACTCTACCTCTTTTAAATATTTACTCAACATCTCCAAGGGAATTACGTTGTAATCTAAAACAAAAGAGATAAAAATCCATATGTATAGTAACCCTAATTGGTTAAGAAAGCGATTTTATGGATTCTGATCTAAACCCCCCCCCTTTTTTTTTTGAGACAGAGTCTCACTTTGTTGCCCAGGCTAGAGTGAGTGCCGTGCCGTCAGCCTAGCTCACAGCAACCTCAAACTCCTGGACTCAAGCAATCCTGCTCTCAGCCCTCCGATAGCTGGGACTACAGACATGTGCCACCATGCCCGGTAATTTCTTTTTCTCTCTATATATTAGTTGGCCAATTAATTTCTTTCTTTTATAGTAGAGACAGGGTCTCGCTCTTGCTCAGGCTGGTTTCAAACTGCTGACCTCAAGCAATCCGCCCGCCTCAGCCTCCCAGAGTGCTAGGATTACAGGAGTGAGCCACCACGCCTGGCCTAAAACACTTTTTGATGAATTCATGGATGATGAATTTGGGAAATGAACCTGTAGATTGCTAGGAGGCCACAGTTGTCTCATCCTTTTGGAATTTTATTTTAATATCAAGGGAAAACATATAGAATCTAAGTTTGTAAAAATACACTAAACCTTAGATTTGAGTAAGGATAGATAACCTCAATGTAAGGACTACGGGATAGGAGAACTCATTTTTTTCAAGTGTGATTTGACGATTACATAAAAAGCGGATAATGAATTTCTCTCTGGTATAATTTGCCAATATTGGTCTACTCTCAGACTAATCTAGCAAGCTCATCCTAGGCTTGTGGCAGAGATAGTTGAAATCACGCGCTTAATTCTGACATCTAGAGATCATAGCAGTGGGGGCTGGAAGATGGAGGGAAAAACAGAGGTACCTTCTGCTGCATAAGTGTTTCATTTATCAAAAGCCTGTGGATAAGAAAAGACAGCTTGAGCCTCAGAAGGGCAAGCAGGCTGGTATGGTGAGGCCATGGGTACAGAGTTAGACAAACAGTAGCTCATGTCCCCGTTCTGCCACTCATTTGGATAAGACTTTGAAAAAATTACTTAATCTCATGCAATACTGGCCCCATCTGTAAAGGTAAGCTCTATGAGGGCAGCGAGCATGCCTGTGTTGTTTACTGTTGTATATGCAGTGCTTAATAAGCCTGGCATTGTAGCATTCAGAGCCAAATCAAATAATTGTTAGAGGAATGTATTAAGAAATAAAAAGAACAACCTTTGACATTTAGAAGCTGGTCTGGCACTCACAGCTAGTCCATATTATTCTCCCATTAGACATAAACAATTAAACAATTTCACACAATACCAACCTCAGACAAAGTTACTTTGAAGCTATAATAAAGTCAAACAAAGCAAGGCAACTTCATAATTTTATCTAAGCACAGACAAAAGTAAGTTTACTTTGCTACCTACATAATACCACACATTCCCTCCCTTCAACAAAATGAGTGACTGCTACTTCTCTGCCAATTTCAGCTTTGTCCTTCTGCCATCCTTCAAATAAATATGATTTATTGAGATATCTAATCATAGAACTGTCCCTGCTTTCTGAGAGAATCCATGCTAGAGCAAACCCCTACTTACTTAGGCCCTCCCAAATCACCCATCCAAAGCCCAGATCCTATGATAGGGTTGTTCTAACACCTGTTACTGAGACATCTATGATTCCCCATGGTGTGTGTTTGTGCTCACTTCAATAAGTAATAAACACAATCTGTTTAACTGTAGCTGTGTTTCTGATGGTATTTGGTTGAGGGCATAGACAGTGTGAGTGGAAAAAATGGGGAGGAAAAGCAGTGTTGCTTCAGAGTTGTTGTGGGTAGTAAGTGGATAATTTACCAACATATATTGGGGTCCGTTTTGTGGCAGGCACTGTGCTAGGTTCAGGGGATACTGAGAAGAATAAAACTCAAATTGGTTTTCAGGGGTTTGAAAGTGCAGGGCATACAGAGTAGACATTTTATAATCCTATCCATTCAACACCCATTTTAGAGGCATACACCTCCTATGAAGGTGTCACAAAAGGACTACATATAGATGGGGAGCATCTAAATCCTCTAGTTCTTAGAGAAGAAGACATCAGAAGAGGAGGGGATGTGTGATGGGAAGAATAATGGCTCCCCACTGATGTTCACATTCTATTCCCTGAAATCCATGAATTTATTACCTTACTTTGTAAAAGGGACTTTGTAGATGTGATTAAATTAAGGATCTTTGACATGGGGCAATTATTCCGGATTATCAGGTTGGGCCCAATGAAATGACAAGTATCATTATAAGAGGGAGGCCAGGAGAGTCAGAGAAGGAGATTTGACAGGAAGAAGATGTGGGGCCACAAGCCAAAGAATGTAGGCAGCCTCTAGAAGCTGGAAAAAGCAAGGGAATGGATTCTCTCCTAGAACCTCCAGAAGGAAGGTTTGCCAATCCATTTTAGACTTGTGACCTCCCCTCCCCCCCAACTGTAAGATAATACATTTGTGGGGTTTTTTTTTTTTTCTTCTTCTTCTTTTTAATTTTATTTTTAGAGATGGGCCTTACTATGTTGCCCAGGCTGGTCTTGAACTCCTGGCCTCAAGTGATCCTCCCACTTCAGCTTCTCAATGTGTTGGGATTACAGGCGTGAGCCACCATGCCCAGCTAAATTTGTGTTTTTCTAAGACAACTAAATTTGTGGTAATTTGTTACAGCAACAACAGGAAGCTAATACAGCCTTCATCTTTAAGGCAGAGTGTTCTAAGAATAAGCAAAGGTAGATTATTTTCTGTGAGGACCTGCCCTTGATCTGATTGGCTGTGGGTTTGAGAGGGTGATAGGGTATGTGGAGATCAGTTCCTGAAAGGTCTTTTTTCCATGGAAAGAAATTGGAAATAATCCTGAAGGTGATCAGAGACCACTGAAAGATTAAAATTAGTGGAGTGTGAAAAATCAGAATTGCATTTTAGAAGGATGGATTGGAGTCTGCAAGCAGGGAGAAGGGATGGGAGACAACTTAAATATCCTAGTCAAGAAACAATGAGAGGCCAGGTGCAGTGGCTCACTGCCTGTAATCCTAGCACTCTGGGAGCCCCAGGCGGGCGGATCACTCAAGGTCAGCGGTTGGAAACCAGCCTGAGCAATAGCGAGACCCCCGTCTACTAAAAATAGAAATAAATTAATTGGCTAACCAAAATATATAGAAAAAATTAGCCAGGCATGGTGGCACATGCCTGTAGTCCCAGCTACTGGGGAGGCTGAGGCAGAAGGCTTGCTTGAGCCCAGGAGTTTGAGCGTTGTCTGTGGAGCTAGGCTGATGCCATGGCACTCGCTCTAGCCTGGGCAACAAAGTGAGACTCTGTTTCAAAAAACAAAAAAAGAAACAATGAGAGACCTTTTCTGACTACTCTCTGTAAAATGCTCTTGGTTATTCCTTGAAATTTAGGGGGGGAGAAGATTTATAGAAAAATGGTTGTGCTTTTCAAATATTTGCAATCCTGTCATGAGAAAGAGCAATTAGACATGGCCTGTGTTGCTGTAAGATCAAGGGATAATGTCAAAAGGAAATATTAAATGCACTATCAGGAAGCACATTCTAATTAGTCTAAAAATGACATAGACTTCTTCACAGATAATTATTGTCATTCTTTCATCCGTTCAACAAATAACCATTAGAGCAGCTAGGATGTGGCAGGCATCAGACATATAATGGTGAACAAAACAGACAAAAACACTGCCCCTCGATCCAGTTTAATTTCTTTGTGTTATGCTGTACTGTTTACAGATAACTTTTATATAAAATAATTATTTAATTAAGAAGCAAGCTCTGAATTGAGAGCTTTATACAAGGACAAGAAGGCTGGGAGTGTGGTGTCTCACGCCTGTAATCCTAGCACTCTGGAAGACCGAGGCGGGAGGATCCCTTGAGCTTAGTAGTTGGAGACCAGCCTGAGCAAGAGCAAGAACCCATCTCTACTAATTTTAGCTGGGAGCCGTGGCCTGCGTCTGTCTGTAGCCTCAGTTACCTGGGAGGCTGAGGCGGGAGGATAGCTGGAGCCCAGGAGTTTGAGGTTGCTGTGAGCTAGGCTGACGCCACTGCACTCTACCTGGGCAACAGAGTGAGCCTCTGTCCAAAAAAAAGAAAGGGACGAGGTTGACTCGGAGTGAACTCTGGCTAGGGAAAACGAGGAAGATAACTCAAAAGCAGCCTGGGAAGGCAAGGCGCGCCGGGAACTCCCCGCCGCTCTCTGGCTTTGGTCTGTGCCCGCCCCTTTCTCCTCCGGCCGCGGGATTTCTAGCCCTTCTCTCGCGAGATCTTCATGTAGCTAGGCGCCTGCGGTGGCTGCTGGCTAGGTTGCGGAGGTTCGTATTGCTGCGGGCTTTGTGCGAGTCTGGTCCGCCCCGGAGGCGCTAAATAGCTTCTGGGAGCCGAGAGCCCAGTTCTCCGTGCGCGGTGTCCCTAAGGAGCGAGTGCGGTGGGCTCCCGGCTGGGGCCGGCCTCGGTCCGCGTGCGCGTTGCGTGTGAGCCGTGGGCCCGGAACCTGCGTGAGGCCGGGCCCGCGGGATTCGGGTCGGGTCGGGTCGGGGTCGGGTCGGGTCGGGTCGGGTCGGGGTCAGGGTGGCCGGCCGGTGGGCGCAGTGATGCAGTCCGGGGATTCCTGTGGCGCGGTTTCTAGGAACAGCCGACCGGCGCCGGCAGGGGCCCAGTGGCAGGTGGAGAGGGGAAGCCCGAGCGTCGGCCCGCGTTGCCCTTGCGGCCCTCGCCCCGGGTCCGCCCTGGTTGGCACCCGGGCGGGATCCGAGGTCGGCTGCAGAGCGTGGTCGCTCGAGGGTCGTGCAGATGGCAAACTCTGGAAATCCCTTGGTCCTGATCCTAAAGCAGTTTCTTTTCCCGAAGTTTTCGAGTGGAGTTAGTTTTCCTTCTTTCCTGCTTTATGTGAAGTGGAAGGAATGATTTAAATACCAACAATTCTCATTTTCTTTTTTTTAAATTTAAGGTGTACAGAGCGATGGAGTATATGACAGAACCCGCCGATCGCAAACCTGGACATATGTGAGTTGCTGCCTTTCTTCACTGCCCCATTTATGTTTGAAGATCTTAAATGAGTCTGCGAAACTTTATAATTGTGGGGAAAGTTTCTGGGGAGTGTTCTTTTGTTATAAAGGGGAAAAATGAAAGTTATTTTTGTAGAAAGTCGAATTCATTTTTAGTTATAAAGTTTTTTCCTTGTAAATTATGCTTTAAGGGGATTCAAATAGTCACTGTGTATCCCTCTAGATCGACACTAATTGGTATCTATTAGCCACATGTGGCTATTTAAGTGTATTTTTTATTAGTTATAATGTAATTTAAAATTTTTAATTTTTAAAATTTATTTACATTTTTTTTTGTTTTGAGATGGAGTCTCACTCTGTTGCCCAGGCTAGAGTGCCGTGGTGTCAGCCTAGCTCACAGCAACCTCAAACTCTTGAGTTCAAACAATCCGCCTGCCTCAGCCTCCCAGAGTGCTAGGATTATAGGTGTGAGCCACCACGCCCAGACTATTTAAATTTTTAAATTATTTTTTTAAAATTATTGTTTTTAAATTTAAATTACCTTTTTTTGCTGATCAAATAGACAGTGAGACTTTTAAACTATAATCCTAAAATATACAGTCATGCAGCACAGACCAAGTAGACAAATCTAAAATAAATAGGCCTCTTACCACAACAAGCCTGTACCCATTGCAGCCCTTCTCTCTCAAATGTCCTTAATCTCAAATGAAAACAGTTAATATGGCATAACCAGAAACCTAGCTATGCAGCCAAAAGAAAAAAACCAAAAGAAAAATAGCAGTTCAGTGGTTAGTTGGTGAAAGGACCACATTCAGTGCCCTTAACTGTGCTGTTTTGCTCTTCTTACTCATGTTTGTTTTGTCCCTTTTCTTCAGCCCATGCATGTTAGCTGTCAATAGGTTTAAATAAGCCATTGGAAAATTAGTTCTTTGGAGATTATCATGGTGCTGAGCTTCTTTTTTCCATCAGTAGCTCTTAGCAGACACTTCTTATCTGAGGGATCAAAACCCTCCAACCCTCCGCAGAATCTTTCCTTGGAATGGGTTGAGTTTAACTGTCATACTTCTTCAAAATGATGAACACACTCTGCCTGCTGCTGGATAACTGGCATTGCCGGAAAAGCCTGGTGAGCTGTGTCAGGAATTGCTCACTCTCCAGCAGCACCATCCTAGTGTGTAACCCCAAGCAGTTAGAGCTGGGAAGTTTCCTAAATTAGTTTAAATGGGATAAATTTAAAGACTCGGTTGCTCTGTTGTACTAGCCACATTTCAAGTGCCAAGTAGCCACATGTGGCTGGTGGCTACCATTGGACATAGAAAATTATTGAACTTTTCTTTTGGACAACATTGTTCTATATTGGTGGCTCTCAAACTTTTTCTTTCCACAATACGCTTAGAATTATGATATTCCTGTAATTTATACTGAATCACTAGATGTTGATACACTTCCTAACCTGTTAAAAAAATTCTACTCTGGGTCAATGTTTATATTTTGGCAGTCCCTCTTTTTTTTTTTTTTAATTGCCTTTGGAGTATATTGCTGTCTATTAGAAATTACAATTAGAAATGATTTAGAAATCGGTTTCTACTGGTGTAGTACAGAGGTTTATACATTTTCCAGAAATACTTTAAGAAATGTTTATCAGAAAGAGATGGGTAGGCAACTGTAGTCTTTTTAGCCTTGTTACCATACTCTTGCCTAAGCTATGGTCCTCTGTAGGTAGTCCCTCAGTAAATGAATTAAGAAGTTCTCAGTGCAGCACTGGAGATACTGGTCAGTACAAAGGAGGCATCAACTAAATAGACAGGTGCATTTTTAAAGACTCAGTATTTAGAGATGAGGTTGTTGAATTAAAGAAACAAAATGATCTTATATACTCTTGACATGGAATTTTCTCTCTTGTTTTTGCTATTGGTACGCATTTGCCCTGTTAATCTATTCTTAGTTTTCTAATTTTAAGAAAGGAATGGTGAATAACATTGTTTCTCAAATTTTCCCCTTGTTTTCTATTACATTTACAGTTGGGAAATTTATTTTAAATCTGTTTATTGGTAAATAGTAATGTGGATGTTTGCTCAGAAAATGTCTGGAACAATAGATACAAATGGTTAATAATAATAGTTATCTCTGGATGGTCTTGGTTTGTTGTGGTATAGAGAGCTTTAACATTTTTTTTATTGTATTTAAGTTTTTGAAATTGAAATTAGTGTAAGTTTTAAATTCATCAATACATCTCCATTCATTTTAATGTAACAATATATTTTCATTTGTTTTTAATAGAAAAGTTTTATTTAGACCTTTGCTGGCTATTAAAATGTAAATTTAAATTAAATAAAATTAAAAATGGAGTTCTTAAGTTGTACTATAGTCACTTTCAGTGGCCCAGTTGTCACATGTAGCTAGTGGCTACCTTATTGGACAGACCAGCAATAAAACATTTCTTTCATTGTATGAAGTTTTGTTGGACAGTGTTGACTCTCTAGACCATTAGGGCATTAGCCTTATTTTGAGAATTTTTGGAATTGTGGCCATCCTTGATTTTTTGCCCCAGTATTCCAAGGCTGTCCTTTATCTATTGCATCTTTGAAGATTGCTTTGTTTCTAAGTTATTTTGTTTATTTATTTATTTATTTTTGAGACAGAGTTTCACTTTGTTGCCCAAGGCTAGAGTGAGTGCCGTGACATCAACTGAGCTCACGGCAACCTCAATCTCCTGGGCTCAAGTGATCCTCCTGCCTCAGCCTCCCGAGTAGCTGGGACTACAGGCAGGTGCCACCATGCCCGGCTAATTTTTTGTATATATATTTTTAGTTGGTTAATTAATTTCTTTCTATTTTTAGTAGAGATGGGGTCTCTCTCAGGCTGGTTTCGAACACCTGACCTTGAGCAATCCATCCCCCTCGGCCTCCTAGAGTGCTAGGATTACAGGCGTGAGCCACCATACCCAGCCTGTTTCTAAGTTATTTTTTTTAAAGCACTATAACATTGTGGCCTAACTTGAAGGCTTTTGTTTGGTATTTTTAAAAAAATCTAACTAGTATATTTATTAAACCTAATTTGAAAAATGTATCCTTTATTTATTCAAGCTTGTGCTGTGAGTGTGGTGTTCCAATTAGTCCAAATCCTGCCAATATTTGTGTGGCCTGTTTGCGAAGTAAAGTAGACATCAGCCAAGGTATTCCGAAACAAGTCTCGATTTCTTTCTGCAAACAATGTGAAAGGTACGGTGTGATATTATTTTACCCTACTTAAAGTTGGAATTCATATTTAGAGCACCAACAGGATAAGCAAAGATGTATAAAGTAAAGCATTCGCAGTTGAGATTTTTATTATTTATGTTGATGTTGCCAAAGACTTTAGAATTTGTAATTTTCTAGTGTACTTTTCTAGTTTGCCTTGCTAATCTGATATAGTATAAAGGTATGTTAATCTGTTTTTTTCCTGTAAAAGGATAAAGTTTGGTATGTGTAGTTAATAGATGGAGTTGATGTTTGTAAAGGTGAGAACAGATTATTAAGGACATATTACTATTATCATGAGTTTTTCTCTAGTTATTAGAAGGTGTGTATTATAAAAAGCACCTTATGTTTCAAATAATTTAGCAATATATTTTAAAAACTATGTATTTTGTTTTGAAAACTGTGTCTGCCAGGGTGGGAGAGGGCTGATTGATGAGAAATTACTTAATGGGTACAATGTGAACTATTCAGGTGATGGCTGCACTAAATGCCCAGACTTCATGTAGTATATCCAGGTAACAAAACTGCATGTGTACCCTGTAAATGTACACAAATAAAAAAAAAACGTATTAATGCTAGTATGTAACTAAAATGAGTATAGTTGATGGAAAGGAAGCTTAGTAAATTGTATTTGGAATGATATGAAATTAAGATTGTATTTGAAGGCAGAAGGCTATTTTTGAAAGTTAGTGTTTCATTCCTGTTTATTTTCTTTAGTCGTTGGGATGAACAGGTTATATGTATTAGGCCACTGACTAACACAAAACTGCCCAATGAGTGTAAAATTATATGCCTATTATTTTGCAAATGGGTTAACACTCTACTTTTTGAATGTAGTGTTGGGGGGTGGTTCATGAACCCCTTGAGAATTTGAAAGCTATCTCCCCAGAAAAAGACTTACATGTACATATATACAAACACATAAAACTTTGTGTACTATTTCAGGGAATTTACAGTTTGCAAGCTTAACAAGTATGAAGCTTAATCTATGATAAATACTTGCTATTCCTAAAACTATGGGGGAGTTAAAAAAAGTACTGGACAAAGAATCAGTAGGCCTACTTTGTCTTGGATTTCTTACAAACTAGCTTTTTGAAACTCTTAGCCATTTATCATCTCTGGGTCTCAGTTTCCTCCTCAGAAAGAAGGAAGGGGTTTTATTAGATGATGTGTGAAGCACTTCCTAACTCCAAAATTGTGCTTATAAACAAAGGGAGAGGGGTCTATGTAACATTTTTGATTAAACCTGGAGAAGTGAAAATCAGAACTTTCAGTTACTTAACAAGTATGGCAAACGACATTCATGTAACACCTTTGGAAGTATATATTTAACAAACATTTATTGAACGTCTACTACAGCATGTGCCAGGCACTATACTAAGTCCTGGATAGGCTGGACTAAAAAACTTAAAGCACATGCATAAGGGATTTAAATTTAATTTAGTCAAGTTTTACCTAAGATTTTAAAACTTGAGTTTTATAATTTGAAATTTGAAAAGTCTTGAAATACAGATGTGTAGTCTGAACTATTGCTGATACATAGTGTTGTGAGGTACTAATTTACCTTTTTTGTGAGAATAAGCAGTTCTCAAGCATTTAAGAAGTACATAATAAATTGTTTTAATGCCATTTTGAAATGATTCTTTCTTACCTATTTTTTAGAACATAGCTTCAAGAAACTTTTGGGTGTTTTGTCATCCTCACTGGAATTTTTACTGGTGATCGAAGTAATATGACCACTTTCATAGGTTATTTCAAATTGGCTTTCTCAGTCAGACTTTTACATTTTTAACTAAAGCTGCTGGTTAAATTGAAAGTTTTCTGGAACAACTAAAATGCATTTGTGTTAAGTGCTTCAGGTCAACCTTGGATATCATTATGCCTGATTAATTTTCAGTGTTATATTTGTATATTCAGATGGAAATTTCTATTTTTCCTGAGATATGCTGGATTTCAACATTTATCTTTTCTTTCAGATATTTCCAGCCACCAGGAACTTGGATACAGTGTGCTTTAGAATCTAGGGAACTTCTTGCTTTGTGTTTGAAAAAAATCAAAGCTCCTCTGAATAAGGTAGGGCAAACAGCTAAAATCAGTGTTGATGAGTATGTTTTCATTAAAGCTCTCATTTTCAGGAAATTCTTATGAGTAGGTTTTTCAAAAATAACTGTTATATTTTACCGTTGTTACCAATAGCATGCCACTGCAAATGCTGTTTTAATTTTTAAAGTTATATTCCTTTTTATGAAAAATGAAAATATCTTTTTGCTTTAAAAGACATAGAATTTTTTCATTTATTATTTATTGATGACTTCTTATGTATAATATTTTTTTTTCTGAAAATGTTTATATAAAACAATCACTAAACATAATTGAGGAGATTTTAATATTAGGACTGTGTTATTTGGTTTCTTTTTATTTTTGTTATTGCTCTGGAAAGAAAATATTTGTGCCTGTCATTTAAAGTCAGTGCATAAATGTCTACAAAAAACAAATTGTTTAGAGTTTGGTTTATTTCTTGATGTAACACTTTCAGTTTTCTTTATCTTAAACTTTATGACTCACATGTAAGTTTCTAATTGAAATGGACTGTTTCAGTTTGAAGACTTCCAATTCTCCTTTAAGCTGTGATAAAATTTTGTGTAGTAGTTCTTTGAAATTTCTTCCTTTGTTTTCATGCTGGTCCCCATCCCCTGGAATTTCTATTAGTCAAATGTTGGCCTTCCTGGCCTAAAACTTTTTCTCTTCTTATTTTTTACAATCTTTTTTTTTTCTTTTTTTCCTTAGGTTCTTGGTGATTTCCTTTACTTTATTTTCTAATCTTTCTATTAATTTTTTTCCAGTAGTAATATTTTTAAGTTCTAGAGTCTTTCATGTTCTTGATGCATTCTGTCCTTGAATTTTTCTAAAGATATTGATGATAGGATTTTTTTTTTTTTTTTTTAAGTTTCCTTCTATTCTCTGATTTCTGTCTGGTTTTTCTTTGGAGTCAGTTTTTTGTGTATCTTGGTTTTTTGATTTTATACTTCAGGCTTTTGTCAAATGTCTGGTGAGTCTTAATTCATTAATTCATTAATCAGATGTTTATTAAGTACCAGGTCTGTGCCAAACTACTTTTGGTGTTGGGAATAAGAGAGACAATCCTTGTCTTAGAAAGCTTATATTCTAGTTGGGGTGGGGAGGGGTAGAGTAGGTAATGAGCAAAACAGGTAGATATGTTATATGATATATTAAAAGGTACTCGGGAGGCTGAGGTGGGAGGATCACTTGAGCCCAGGAGTTGGAGTCCAACCTGGATAATATAGTTGAGACCCTGTCTTTAAAAAAGGCACAAATTCCATGCAGAAAGAAGCTAGGAACTGTAAAAGAGTTGTGCAGGGAAGAGTTGTAATTTAAAATAAGGGTGTTTAGGGGAGGCCTCACTTAAAAGGTGACATTTGAGTAAACATTAAAGGTGGTAAGGGAGGAAGGTGTAGAGAAATATGGAGGAAGAACATGATGAGAAAAAAAAATAGGCTGGGTACGGTGGCTCACGCCTGTAATCCTAGCACTCTGGGAGGCCGAGGTGGGCGATTGCTCGAGGTCAGGAGTTCGAAACCAGCCTGAGCAGGAGTGAGACCCCATCTCTACTATAAATAGAAAGAAATTAATTGGCCAACTAATATATATAGAAAAAATATTTAGTCGGGCATGGTGGTGCATGCCTATAGTCCCAGCTACTCGAGAGGCTGAGGCAGTAGGATTGCTAGAGCCCGGGAGTTTGAGGTTGCTGCAAGCTAGGCTGATGCCCTAGCACTCACTCTAGCTTGGGAAACAAAGTAAGACTCTGTCTCAAAAAAAATAAAAGAACAAAAGATAAAAGAAAAAAATAATCCAAGAAGCATAGAGACCAGAAACAAAAGCCCACCTGTGTGGTTAGAGTGGTGTAGTGAGGGAAAAGCAGTGGGGGATAAAGTCAGAGAAGACATGAAGGTCAGAGTATGTCTGGCCTTGTAGGCCTTTGTAAGGACTGGTTTTTACTCTGAGTGTGTGCATTTGGAGGGTAAAGGGCAGAGTAGTGAGATGATAGGATTTATCAGGATCCCTCTGGCTGTTGTGTTTAGAATAGATGTGAAGGAGATAAAGTTTGAAGCGATTATAATAATCATGAGAAATGATGGTTTTCAGCAGTGGAGGTAGTAAGAAGTGGACAGATTCTGGATTTATTGTGCAAGTACTCAGTAGCATCTGCTGATGTAATTGGATGTAAGAGACAGAAGGGTTAAGGATGACATCCACTGTACTTGACCTGCGCACAGCCAGAGGGAGGGAGTTGCCATTAGAGAGTAAAAGCTTCAAGAAGAGCAGATCAGGATGGGAGAGATCAGAGCTCATCTCTAACTGGTTCTTAGGTATCTACTAGGCATTTATGTGGAAATACTGAGTAGGCAAGTGGATAAATAAGCAGGGGAGTGGTCCAGATTAGAAGTAATGAATTTGAAAGTCCTGAATTGGATGAGGTTACCTAGGGAGTCTAAATAGAGAAGGGAAGAAAGTAGAGGACTGAATTCTGGAATCCTTTAATGATAAAAGTTTAGGTAGATGAGGAACCAACAAAAGAGACTGAAAATAGCTGCTGAAGAGATAGGAGGAAAATTAGGTGAGTGTGATGTCCTGGAAGGCAGGGGAAATGTTTCAAGAAGGGAGTGAGTGGCTATGTGATTTGCAGCTGCTGGGTCAAGTGATGAGTTCTGTAGACTTAGCAATGTGAATGTCATTAGTAACGCTGACAAGCAGTTTCTATCTGGTGATGGTGGTAAAGACATGATTTGAATGGAAATGAGAGAGTGCAAGATGGAATGGAAAACAGTAAGTATAGATAATTCTTTTGAAATTTGCTGTAACGGAAAAAAAAGAAATGGGGCAGTGACTGGAGGGGAAATTCGTGAAGGGACACATTTCTTAACATGGGAGATACAACTGTATTTGTAAGCTCTGGGAATGATAGAGTATAGATGGAAAATTTTGTGAAACTGCAGGGAGACAGAATAATTGGCTGGGGGTTGTCCTTAAGGAGTGGAAAAGAGATAGGTTATAGCATATAGTAGAAGAATACATTTCTTCATTCATTCATACATTCATTCATTCATTCATTCATTCAAGTATTCAGCACTTACTCTGTCAGGCACATTTTGGGAGGCTGGAATATTTCATGGGACAAAATAAAGTGCTCTGTAATGGGGCATTCAAGAGGTTGGTCTTGATAGGAGTGTGGATAGTTCATCCGTGGTAACAGGAGGAAAGGTGTTAAATGGGAATTTCTGGAAATTCTCTTCTGATTTCTTATTTTTTTGTGAGAAGAGAAAAGCAGGGGCAGTAGCTATGAGGGGAAAGCTGTTACAGGTTTGAGGAGAGAGGGGATGGTATTAAATAGTCCCCTAGGACAGTGGGAAAAGGAATGCACCAGAATGATGTTGTGTGGGTGCTGGGCAGTGCTAAGGGTTACTGTTATAAATTTAAAGACTAGCCAGCATGGTGTGCGTTTGTTTCTCTAGCCCCATCAGCTACATAGATAAGGCACAGAGTAGGCAGAACGTTGGATTTAACCAAGTTTATGATTTAGCCTAGTGACTACGGTAAAGTGAGGGAGGGACCAAGGCAATGAAGAGTCTGTGTATGGGAATAATTCTGATGATTGAGTTTTAAAATTAACTGGGATAGGATGGAACAAGTAGATGAAGAGGAATGAGCGATAGTGAAAAGGTGGATTGTCTGTTGCATTAGATTGAAGGATTTTTGATGCCCAGGAACTAGAGGAAATAAGCTGGAAAGTTAGGAGGTGGTAGTCATGGGGGTAGGATGTTTGTTATTGAGATTTGGAAGGAGTTGCAGTTATTGGTAATAAAAGGATTTGAGAGCCTGAGATAGGAAGGAGGACAAGATCTTGGGGGGAAAAGAACTCAAAGAATGGTGAGGTCTGGATATTGTGGGGATCATCTGTGTGAATATTGAAATTGCTAAGTATTAATATTGTTGGAAAGGATGACAGTGAGCCAGGAGCTAAAATCTTTGAGAAATGAGAGTGAGGGATACAAAGATTAACAGATGACTATAACAAAGAGTAATTAATAGTAGGTGGTAGAGTCTGATGACTTTAGACTCAAGGCTGGGTGTATTTAAGAGAAGGCAGGGAGAATGGTCTGGAATTAGCAATCAAGAGCAAGGATACCTATCTAGTGCCTGGTCCTGTGATAGGAAGGAGATGAGAGAAAAATCAGTCATCACTTTAAATAGCTGCAGGGAACAGTATAATCAGACTAAAAAGTGAAGGGAATGTTCAGCAAAGAGCTTGAGAATTTAGGAGGTTTTGTTGTTACTGAATGTTGTGTTCCAGAGGGCACAGTAAAGGTTTTGGGGTTTGAGGAGGAGTATTAGATGGGGACAGAATGGAGAATATGTGGAACCATATGGAAATTGGAGTATAGAAGATGAAGGGTGACTGAGGTATCTGGGACTATAGTAAAGAAGGATAAAGGGCCCACTAAAGTTGATTAGTTGTGGTTGTCTGTGGACAAATTGTGTGGTGAGGTTGTACTGGGGAATGCTGAGGTGGATGTCAAGGGACCCTCTCTCCATTCCTGCAGATGAAGGTTGGAGCCTGAGAGAAGGGATGGAGATTGAGGGAATAGGAATCTGCCTGTCACAGTACATGGTGTGGCTTGTTAGCTACTAGGCTTTGCTTTAGGGGAACCAGTTATATGAGGACAGTTTTACTCAGGAGTGCTGCGTATACCTTAGCTAGTCTAGTTTTCACCAGACAATACTTGATAAAATTATAATCTGCTTGCAGATACCTCCCAAATGTGTTACCTACAGCCTAAATTTCTTCATAGATCTCCAGACCATGTGTATTAATATCTTACTATTCACTGAACAAGTCCACTTGGATATCTCATAGATACCCTCTTAAACTTAAATGTCTGAAAGCAAATGTAACATCTATTAAATCTGTTGTTTATTTATGTCAGAAAAATTGTACTACCTGGTTACCCAAGCTGGATACTTGAGCTTCATTCTAAAGTCTGTTCTCCTTCTCCTTCCCATATCTAGTTGTCATTAAATCTTACAGATTTTCTCTCCTAAATAGCTCTTGGATCTGCTTCTGTTGTTTCCAGTGCCTCTCAGCTCCTGCCCACGTTATTACATCAGCTTTCATTGTTATTCTCCCACCTGACCCCATCCATTGTCCCTATCCACCTATTCTGGCCATATTGAGTCATATTAATTTCCTCACATATATTAATAGCAAATAGGTTTTGACCTGTGCAGATACTGCAGATTTAGCAGTGAATTATGATTGTGGGGTTAGTATTCAGTGCATGAAACTTCCTCCAATGAATATCCATTCTTAAAAAAAAAAAAGCCATAGACTTAATATAGAGAGAATAATGCAAGTGGAAACTTTTGTTACCAGGTCTTTATTTTCTTCCAGAAAATATAATTTCCTTTCAAAGAATGGTATACTTTCTTTAGGGAAAATGATTTTTTTTTTACTATGCAAATACTTTAATTTTTGCTTGAATTATATTACATTAATGTAGTCATTGGATTATCCTTTTAATTCTGGTATTGTTGCCATACTTCTGATGATAAATCTTTTTTTTTGTGGTGATGGTATATAGTGATGCTAATCACAGATTTCTTAAGCATCTTTTGAAGTCAGTTTAATAAGGAGTTCTTTCATCTTTTTTTTTCCTCCTCAGGTAAGAACTTATATTTCTTTATGTTTTATTGAAGGTTCGGCTTGTAGATGCAAGCTTTATTTGGACTGAGCCCCATTCTAAGAGACTTAAAGTTAAACTGACTATTCAGAAAGAGGTAAGTTGTACATAGTTTTCTCAGCATGATTAAAGTGTGGGTAGTGAGAATGAGGGCCTGATGTTAAATTATTTTATGGATTGAACAACTTAAAAGGGAAAGAATACACTCTTAATTTTAGCCTTGTTTTCTTTTGATCATATGTACAAGTAATTAGATCACTAGTAAGAGCAGCCATTGCTCATGATTAGTGGGCTAAGTATCTTTTCCAAAGTTATTTTTATTAGGAAAAGGACTAAAGTGAAAACATGAGCTAAGCCATTACTTCTCATACTTGGCTGATGGTTATAATGACTTATAGAACAAAGTTAAAATCTTTGGATGTGAGGCTGAGGAATTCGTATATAGGTTGAGTATCCCTTATCTGACATGCTTGGGACCGGAAGTGTTTCAGACTTTGGATTTTTTTGGATTTTGGAATATTTGCATTATACTTACTGTTGAACATCCCTAATCTGAAGTGCTCTAATTAACATTTCCTTGTAGTGTCATAATAGATGCTCACAAAGCTTTGGATTTGGGAGCTGAAATTTCAGATTTCAAATTTTTGGATTTGAGGTGCTCAACCTGTATTTAAAAAGCTTCCCACGTGATTTCTGATCAGCTATGTTTGGGACCCATTAAATTAAGTAATATTTTCTTTTTGAGAGTTTTCCTAATGTTTTTCTTCTAAAGATGAATTCTGTGTATTTATACACACGCACACACAAATAAGTTCTTTAAAGAATATCCTTATAACCATTTCAACAGTAAATTTGAAACTTTAATTCTCTAAATCTTAGCGATTAAACCTGTTTACCTTTCTTGAAATGCTATAACGTATGACTTTAAAATTGACTAATGTCCTCAAGGCATTCATGAAAAAAAGTTTAAAGCAAAATATGAAAGCATCTTTTTTAAGAAAAGTATTTGTTATTAAACAGAACTGTAAGAATGAAGGAGTATAATTGTTCTTCTTTATCAGGTGATGAATGGTGCTATCCTTCAGCAAGTGTTTGTGGTGGATTATGTTGTTCAGTCCCAAATGTGTGGAGATTGCCATAGAGTAGAAGCTAAGGATTTCTGGAATGCTGTGATTCAAGTCAGACAAAAGGTAATGAGAGAAAGGTGATGAATGAGTCCTACATCTTGTTTCTCATCTTTGTCAATAACAAACAGCTAGGAAAGCCTCCTCATTCCTCGCTAGGTACCAGGGATAGTCTAGGTCCCTGGAGCATTCTCCTTTGGAAATAGGTCATTATTACATTTTAGATAATCTTTGAAGACTTCTTGTTTAGAAAATGAGTGTGCTATATTTATATATGGTATGTGTGTGCTATACCTATAAATGGCTTGTTTGGGGCATTTAGTGATTTAATAATGCATTTATATTTAGACTTTGCACAAAAAAACTTTCTACTATCTGGAGCAGTTGATTCTGAAATATGGAATGCATCAGAATACACTTCGTGTCAAAGAGATTCATGGTGAGTTAAAATTTAAAAGCATTTGAAATGATGTCAAAATTTTATTTCAGGCTGGGCGCGGTGGCTCACACCTGTAATCCTAGCACTCTGGGAGGCTGAGATGGGTGGATTTTTTGAGCTCAGGAGTTCAAGACCAGCCTGAGCAAGAGCAAGACCCCATCTCTACTAAAAAAAATAGAAAGAAATTAGCTGGACAACTAAAAATATATATAGAAAAAATTAGCCGGGCATGGTGGCGCATGCCTGTAGTCCCAGCTACTGGGGAGGCTGAGGCAGGAGGATTGCTTGAGCCCAGGAGTTTGAGGTTGCTGTGAGCTAGGCTGATGCCACAGCAATCTAGCCCGGGCAACAGAGTGAGACTTTGTCTCAAAAAAAGAAGAAAAAAAATTTTCATTTCAACTCACCTAAGTAATCTCCTTGCTGATAATATCTGGGTTAGTACTGTCCAGAAGAACTTTCTGTTAGGAAGAAAAAAATCTTAGTTCTCTATTTGTCTAGTATAGTAGTCACTAGCCACATGTGGCTGTTGAGTACTTGAAATATGGCTAGTACAACTGAAGAACTGAATTTTTAATTTTCTTCTATTTTAATGTAAATTTACATTAAATAGCCACATGTGGCTAGTGGCTACTCTGTTGGATAGCACATATCTAGAACTAAGGTTTTTTTCTTTCATATTCTCCATTTCCAATTTAAGGCATTTATTATTAAGCATCTAGTTTGTGATAGATGCTATTCTGGGTTCTTAGAACATAAAGATGAATTAGTATTCCTGCCCTCAGTGGATTATTTATCTTGCTACCAGATGAGTAAACCAGATTTAGTAAACTGCATTAATAGAGTGTAAAGTGCTATCATAGAAAATTCATCAAAAACTTGTTTTATGTAGAAAGATCAGTTTCTGATTAGAAGAAGATAATTATTTTTGAGATCTGTAAGATTTCTTTGTTAATGTTTCTGTGTTTGCCCAGAGAGGTATTTGTGATGTATTAATTCAAAGGCATAAACTTACAATAACAAATAGTGATATACAAATAATATAATTAGATTTCTTAAGGATGGGATTTTTAAAACTTTTGCATATTTCTGGAGTTAATAATATAAAATATAAGTATGTTTTAGTAAACTCAAGACTCTTGCTAAAGGATGATGTTTTTGGTTGGTGCTTCCTACTGCTAGATGAATTGTTTTCCTAGTCTTTTTTTTTAAATTTCAAAGTATTATTTAAGGGGTACAAGTGTTTTCATTACATGGATATCTTGTATAATGCTTAAGTCAGGGCTTTTGGTGTGCACATCACCAGATTAGTGCTCATTGTACCCAATAGGTAAGTTTTTATACCACACCCACCCTGCCGCTCTTCCCCCTTCTTAATTTCTCATGTCCTTTACGTTGTTTTGTGCCCCTGTGTACCCATTGTTTAGCTCCCACTTATTAGAGAGAACATGCGGTGTTTGGTTTTCCATTCCTGAGATACTTCACTTAGAATAATGGTCTCCAGTTCCCTCCACGTTACTGCAAATGACATTATTTCATTCTTTTTTATGGCTGAGTAGTGTATATATATGTACATCCACATACCACATTTTCTTTATCCACTCATGAGTTGAAGGGCACTTAGGTTGATTCCACATTGTTACAATTGTGAACTGTGCTGCGATAAACATTCAAGTGCAGGTATCTTTTCTTTTGTTTGTTTTTTTCTTGCTGATTTGTTTGAGTTCTTTGTAGATTCTGGATATTACTCCTTTTTTTAAAGTATACGTTTAGTGATAGCTGTTCTTAAAGGAATGACCATGTTCTTAAATTATACTTCTTATTTTAAAACTGTGAGTTCCACTGTTACTTACTGGTCTGTTATTCATTTGTCTTGTTTGTGTTGAGAAAAGTGCTTTTACAAGTGTGATCTCTGCATTAAATGGGGGAAAAATTAGTATCAGTTATGTCACCTGGAGAAAATCTTTTAAGCTTTGCATCTGACCAGAGTGTATTACCACTAGACACAGCATTAATAGTTACGTTGGTGAATTAGTGAGTGGTTATTATGGGTAAGGTACCTTCCTGCCTGTTGAACTGGTTATTGTGGCTAGCTATTGGACAGTAATACACCTTTGTTCTATGTAACTTTGTTCTGACTAACTATTTTGGAGATAAAGAGACCCAAATATTCTAGCTAAGGAAGCAAAACGCTATTATACTATTAGTTCATCACCTTGGTAGAAATATTCTTACACAGAATTTTTGGGTAGTGAAAGACTTGGATACATTTCGCAATTTCTTTAAAAATCAAGAGTGTTTAGGTTTAACAACCCGTCTTCTATCCAGAGGATTGAATCTGGGTTTTTTTCCTACTAGTTCTTGGTTTGATTTAAATGAATATTTGTTTGTTTATTTGTAACTTTATTTTAAAAATCATAATAATCATTAAAATTCAAACATAGAAGTGTGTATGAACAAAGGACCTGTACTTGACCATTATCCACCTGTCATCCCCAGAGATAGCCCCTTAAACCAAAATGGTATAATATTATTAATATTATATGCTCTGTAAATTCTGGTGATAATGGACATTGCCCCTCATATGTGGGATTGTTCTGTAAAGTTTTGTGACTTGCTGTCTTAATTTATTTGGAAACCTTTCCACAACATTACACATAGTTTTATCTCACTATTTTTAATTGCTTTGTAGTATTATTATTAGTTAATAATTAGTCAGTAATAATACCACAAAGCTACAGACAGGACTGTAACAGATACATTTATGTGTATATGTAATTGTTTTTCTTTGGGACTGATTTAAAGAATTGAAATTACTAGACAAGAGTATGCAAATGTTAAATTTTGATACATAACTGCTTAATTGTTTTCAAAAATAATGCCAATTTACATTCCCATCACTTATAAGAGTTTCGTTTGTCCATATACTTGCCAACACTGGATAAAACTATATTGGCCTTTCTGATTTTTGCTGTTGTAATGGACAAAATAATGACATTTTGTTTTAATTTTCATTTTCTTGATTACTAATGAGGGTTAACATATTTTTATATGTATATTAGCCATTTTGTTTATCTCTAATGTGAATTGTCTGTTCTTTCATTCATATATCTGTTTTCCTCATTTATTTTATATCTTTTATTCAGGATATCTATCTCATTATGTAGATATCTATAGAGAGGGAGAAAGGCTGAGAGAGCAAATACTTTTTGGCAGTGCACCATTTTTTTTTAAAATCATTCTTTAGTTACATAGCTATAGCTTATGGCTTTTGTGTCTTATATGGAAGTTTTCTGTACTCCCAAGATTATTCTTAAGGAGTAGTGCTTTGGTTTATGTTTTGCTTTTGGACCTTTAATCATAATCTGGGAGTAGTTTTGTCCAAAAGATAAACTCATTGTCTCAATACTTAACTACTGAATAGTCTTTTAGCCACTGACTTGAAATATTCTTATATACATTAAATTCCCTTATATACACCTCACTTCTGGACTTTTATTTTATCTCACTGCTTCTACATAGTATGTAAATTTATTATATATACTTCATAGTATGTGCCTGCTTCATGAATATTTTTTTACAAAGTTTTTTGGTTGGTGTTTTTAAAAGCATGGATGTGGAACCAAATTTTGTTAGTTTGATTCTCTGTCCTGCCAGTTTTTTGCTGTATGATCTTGGGTGTGTTATTTAACTTCTCTGAGCCTCAGTTTTTCTCTCAGTAAAATGGAGAGGATGATAATAGCACTCACCTCATAGCATTATTGTGAGGATTAAATGAACTAATCAGAGTAAAGCATTTATGAACCCTGATTGGCACATAATCATGTTTATTCAGTTCTTTACTGTACTTTGGTGAAGTTTTATAGTTATTTTTCATAAAGATTTTGAATGTTTCTGTTGGCTTTTGGCTAAATAATTTATACTATTGTGGATGGCAACTTTTTTCATTACATTTTCTAATTGTTTATGCAATAATATAGGCAAGCTATTGATTTTATATATTGATTTTTCTGAATTTTTAATATTACTAATAGTTTACAGTTGATATTCTTGATTTTTCTAGGTGAACAATTATCTGTAAACAGTGATAGTTTATTTCTTGTTTTGCAGTATTTTCCTTCTCTTCTCCACCCCCTTTGGAGAAGTAGAGAATACCATTGAGTGGTAGCATATCAAACATTATTATCTTTTTATGTGCCATCCATACATATAATATTGTTGAGATTTCTATTTGCATATATGCATACATACTTAAGCATGCTTAAACACTCTTCTGTTCAGTCTTGCTATCAGTTATGTTAGTGACATTGAAAAGAGGAAGTTTGCTTCTTTGTACCTACTGTTTTGTTCACTTTGATCATTTTGGTTTGAGAGAATCTTATTCTAGTCCCTCACAGGGATTATGCATATGTTAACATTTTAAATTTTTCTTTCTTTTTTTAATAGTTTCTGTTTTTTGTATCTCAGATTCATTCCTAATATCTTGGAAGATTGCTCCATTTATTACATAAAATATCTTTTCTTCTTTTTTTTCTCTTCTCCTTGCCTTGAATTTTATGTGTAAAATTTTATTTTATACATATTTGTCTGGGATTTAAATTATGAATCTTTGTTTCCTTTGTTATCATCTGTCTGATTTATTTTGCCTGTCCTTTTGCCTAACTAGTTCTTAACTGATATTCTTAATCTGAAATCTCCTTCCTTCCTTCCCTTCCTTCCTTCCTTCCCTTCCTTCCTTCCTTCCTTCCTTCCTTCCTTCCCTTCCTTCTCCTTCCTTCCTTCCTTCCTTCTCCCTCCTCCTCCTCCTCCTCCTCCCTCCTCCCTCCCTCCCCCTCCCCTCCCTCCCTCCCCTCCCCTCCCCTCCCCTCCTCCCTCCCCTCCCTCCCTCCCCTCCCCTCCCTCCCTCCCTCCCTCCCCTCCTTCCCTCCCCTCCCCTCCCCTTCCTCCCTCCCTCTTTCCTTAGACAGAGTCTTGCTTTGTCAGCATAGCTCACAGCAACCTCAAACTCCTGACCTCAAGCAATCCTCTGGTCTCAGCCTCCCAGAGTGCTAGGATTATGGGCAGGAGCCACAATGCCCCGCCTAATATATTTTCTATATCTTCTAATAATTTGATTAGTTTAATATAGATTTATTTGTGATATAGTCATATTAGTAGAGGAAAATCTTATTTTGCAGAATGATTTTCAGGTGCCTTTTTTTTTTAAAGATGGCCTGGATTTCTATTATTCCTCAAAACAACATGCTCAGAAGATGGTAGAATTCCTTCAATGTACAGTTCCTTGTAGGTATGTTCTGAACCTAAGTCCAAGACCTGGAATGGTTGGGGTCACATCTGTTCTCCAGGATTAGGCAACTTCTTTTTGTGTTAAATATTTAAAATGGTAATAGGAATACTTACATAATTAGGACATTTATTGGGTTAGCCACTTTGAGGGATATATTAGCCAAAGAGCATGTTAAGAATCTCTTCAGGGAAGTAGACCTAGCCCCATGATAATAAGTACTATAGTGCTGAACCATGGACCTAATGTAGATAAAAGAGAAAGGAAAGATAGGGATTATAGGACTTTGGGGAAAAGCTCATTGAGAAAGTAGAATTTGTGCTCCAAAGAAGGGGAAATTTTCATAGGTGGAGTTTATATTGAAAGGTGAGATTAGTGTGAACTAAGACTTGGCAGTAGACAGTTAGTGTGGTTTAATGGGTGCTATATATTTCTGAACCAGGGCATGTTTTGGAGATTTTAGTCGATATGATTGAAATTAGTAGGGTAGGTATAGTCAGACTGGTGAAGGTTTGAAATGCAAGTCGAAGAAATTAGGCTTTGTCATAGCAGGCATTAGGAAACTGTTTCAGACTTTGGATAGTGATGATTTGATTTGTTGAAAATTTGTATTGCTGAGTCTATACAAGTAAGGACCTTTGTCTTTATGTTATTATTAACTTTTTTCTTAATAGACAAAAAGCATCACAAAGATTGATCTCTCAGGATATCCATAGCAACACATATAATTACAAAAGCACTTTTTCTGTGGAAATTGTTCCAATATGCAAGGTACTTTTTTTTTCATTTAATTTATATCTATAAGAGTACAGGTAATTAATTGCCTTACTGTAATTTGTAGCTCCTGGTTTCCTTGTGGAGTTGGTTAAAAATTTAGAGTAACTTTTAAAAATGATTTCTACATATTCAGCTATGTTAAAAAGATATTATAAAAGTAATTATGCTTATAATTATGGATTGACACACCTTTTTTTAGTGCAATAAAATGAAAAGACCTGGTTGCAGTTTCCTTAAAATTTGTGATCCTTGAACTGTATGACAGTTCTATGAAACTTTGATAAAAGAAATGACACTAAAATCAATATTAGTGAGCTACCTTGTGAAACATGTGCAAACAGGATTTTGGCAAGATTAAATTAAATAATATTATGAAAATAAGATCATAAAATCATTTAAAAGCATAATCTGAATAAAACATTTAAAGTATAGATTACCATTTTATTGATAGTATAATACTAAGATAGAACCCTATTTCAAAAATAAAAATGAATTAAAATTCTACAAGTAGTTATTGAGCATCTATTGTATAGCAGGCTATATACTGGGGATTATATAGCTGTAGGATCTCTACCATGTAGGAACTTATATGTTGGTATTCAGTCACTAACAATGGTAACTGCCATACTTTACTGTGACTATATTCTATGTAAATTTAATACCTAGGTACTTTAGTATCTTTTTTACCTCATTCACATCTCATAATAACTGAGATAAGCCATATCATTTTGAAGATGAGGAAATTGAAGTTTGGGGAGGTTATACAAACTTGCTGTAAGTAACATAACCACAAAATGATAAAGCTAGTATTTGCACCAAGGCCTGTGGCTTTAAAGCTGTTATTGATACTATAGGACAGTACTAGGGATAAAATGATAGCTTAAAACAGGGTTGGCAGACTTTTTCTGTAAAGGGCCAGATAGTAAATATTTTTAGCTTTCAGGACATATAATCTCATTTGCAACTATTGAGCTCTGCTATTATTGCACAAAAGTAGCATGGATAATGTGTAAGTGAACGGCCAGGGCTATGTTCTGGCAAAACTTTATTTATATAACAGTCTGTGGACCAAATTTGTCCTGAGGGTCCTATTTTGCTGACCGCTGGTTTAAAGCAGTCAACATTTTCTGGCACAAAACCTGAGGAATAAGAATTTAGGTGTGAGGATATATTCAGGTCTTGTGTATTAAATGCTTTGGCTGACTTAATTGTGTAACTGGGGAGGTATACCATGTAACAAAGTGTTTTTATTTATCTTTGGAAACTCTTGAGTTGAAAACCAAGTACTGAACTAGGAGCTATTATGTTCAGAATGTCCCTTTGGTGGAGAAGCTTATGATTGTGAATAGATACACCTTAAAATATAACTCAGATCCTTTTTGTATTTTAATACAATTTAAAAATAGATAATTTCATTGCTGGTTAATATCTTCCAGTATACACATAGACGTCTGTGACTTTTTTGGTCATTAAATCTTTGATTACATATTGGTTCATGTAGCCATGTAAGAGAAACATGTTGTTCTCTTGAAATTTGTTTTTTATGGAGAGTGAAAGAAATCATAAGTAGATTAGAAAATCACTCTCCTGATGTTTATAATACTTTGCTTAGAATGCATGCTGTATTTACATATAGAGTGATAAACAGGAATTCACACTGCAATAAAATTAAAATAAACTTAATGATACCTTGATGAATAGGCCCTAGAAGATTTCTAAAGCATTTTTATTAAGATAAATATTCCTGTCTTAAGAAGGTATTGCCTATTTTCAGTTTCTTTGACGTCTGATTCTTTTCTTTAGGCCCTTTGTTGATACATAGAATTAAAACTAATGTTTTTGTTGGACAAGTGCAGTTGGGTTGGGTTTACATTGATGAATGTTTATTGGACTGTTCTTTATGATTTGCCTTATTCTAAATGTTAGTTCTCATATCTAGGATAATGTTGTCTGTCTGTCTCCAAAACTGGCACAAAGCCTGGGAAATATGAACCAGATTTGTGTGTGTATTCGAGTAACCAGTGCCATTCACCTCATTGACCCAAACACCCTACAAGGTAAGTTGTGGAAACTATTTGCCTTGACAGTTTTGTTCTGTATGGCAGGCAATAATAATGTGTGTTAATTTTATCCAGCATTCTTTATAATATTGTTTTGAAGGGATAGTTAAAATTTGTACTATTATTTAATACTTACAAAACTCTGGAATTACAAAGCTTTCCAAAAATACTCTTTTAATTTTTACTTAAACAATTCTGTGGACTTGTACAGATTTACTAGTTTATTCCATTGCTTTCTAGTGAAATTGACTTATTTACTTCATTTAATTTTGTGACTACTTAAGTTCATTGCTAAATTTTGATGTTTAGCAGTTATTTTAAATTTTAGAACATTGGACTTTTTGTGATTCAGTGGAATATTTAGTTTGAATGTGAATTTTAACTAATTTCATCATTATATGTCATTTTTAAATATTCCCTTTGTAGAATAAATTATTTTTAAAGAAGACCACATTTTTATAGGTATCTTAATATTTGGCTATATCTCCTACTTCTTGATCATTTTCATTTATTTCTTGTAAAGTAAGTTTCCTTGTTTATTGTGATATTTTCCAGAAAGTCATTCATTATCCTTTTCAACTAGAATTCATCAGTTAAAGGCCTATTTGCAATATTGGGATGGACATTCTTTATTTGTCTGGTAGAACTAGGTGTTATTTCCTTTAACTTGAGTAGCTAACATGATTGATAAGTTTCTAAAATAAAATGCCAGGACATGGAACAACTATGCAACTTATTGGATCTGATCTTGTTTAAAAGGAACTTAGCACTATGGCATTCTTATAGCAACTAAGATATATTTGACATCTGGTATTTTGTGCTTTGAGAAGTTTGGGGTTGATTTATAGGAATAAATGATGACCCTAGAAAGTGAGTAGATACTATAGTTCTAGTTGACTTGATGCTTCCCAGTTGGTATATATGAACTTCTTCCTAGTTAACACATTCGATGACTTTTAGAAATACATTATTTCTCTTGTTCTTTATAGTGTTCTCTGCTTATTCTTAGTTGCAGATATTGATGGGAGCACTTTCTGGAGTCACCCTTTTAATAGTTTATGCCATCCCAAACAGCTAGAGGAGTTTATTGTGATGGAATGCAGCATAGTCCGAGATCTAAAACGCAGTGCAGGTGCTGGAATGATATCAAAAAAGGTAAGCTGTATCCTGTCTACCTTCTTTTCTTTTTTCCCCTACAACTTACTATTGTTTCAGTTCCACCTTTTTAAAAAAACTTCATTGGTAAAGTGTAGAGTCTAAAGTGTAGAATACAAATAAAGCTAGCACCACATTAGGGTAAAAATGCTTTTTGTTTTTTATTTTTTTAACATGAAAATTATCTGACTTACACTATCTGGTAAGTTAATTTATTCTTTCTTGTGTTGGAAAAAATGTTTTAATGGTTCATTCCATTATTATAAAAATGCATTTCCTTGTTTTATTTTGTAGAGGAGGACCAAAGGACCAAGTAACCGTCTGAGTTATCATACGTATAAACTATATAGTCTGTACAGTAGTTCCCCCTTATCCGTGGAGGATATGTTCCCTGACCCACAGTAGATGCCTGAAACTGCAGATAGTACCAAGCTCTGTATATATGCTGTGTTTTTTCCTATACATACATGCCTATGATAAATTTAAATTTATAAATTAGGCAAAGTAAGAGATTAACAGCAACAACTGGTAATAAAATAGAACGATTATAATAGTATACTGCAATAAAAGCTATGTGAATGTGGTCTCTCTTTTTTAAGATATCTATGTGTACTGTACTCACCTGTATTCAGACAGTGATTAACTGCAGGTAAATGAAACCATGGAAAGGGAAACTGTAGATAAATACTACTACTGTATTTCAATTTCCTCATTTGTCCCCAGAGTGTCTTCTATGCTTTGTTCAAACTAATATTCAATTGGAGACTACACATTATTGTGACTATTGTACCTTTTAAGTCTTTTGTAGCCCTAGCCCCCTTCCATTTTTTTTTAGGGTTTGGTTTTGATTGGTCATATTACCAACTTTCTTAGACAACAAGGCATTTATCTGGTAGAATACTCTACTTTTTGGATCTATCTTATTGTTTCCTCATGGTGTCATTTAACTTCTTAATATCTTGTATTTCCTGTAAACTGGAAAGTTGATCTAAAGGTTTGGTTAATGTTAGGTTAAATTTTTCTTTGCCAGAATATTTCAGAGGTGATACTGTGCACTTTTTATGGTAGCACATCAAGAGACCAGTAATGTCTGACTGTTTGTTAAAATAATTATAACCAGATTCTTCCGTTGTAATGTTATGATGTTTTTTTCCTCTTGTGACCAGCAAGTTATCTGTGGAGTCATACTATAATAATATACAAATATCAGGTCTTTGTTATCTCTTTCTTCTGGCTTTAACATCTGTTGATAATATTGCTCAAATTACTTTGTTTAGGGTTACAAAATGGTGAGTTTTCTATTTCTATTCTATATCTATTAGCTGGTATTCTTTATTAAGGAAGAGTTTTTGTTATCAATTAGAGTTTTGTGGTTTTTCTGAAATGTTTTTCTCCTGCATAAATTCTTAATTCTCTTTTAGCACATATTTTCAGAGTCAAGAGTTGATCTGAGTTACTTCCAGTGGTGAAAATTAGTATAGATTTGCTTTTATATTTGGTGGTGTCTCTTTCTCTGTGATTATTATGATTACATGAAGTATTATTTAAGTACTGTATTTCCTTTCTTTCCTTTTTTCTTTTCATCCTTCCCTTTCTCCATCCTTCCCTCCGTCTTTTTAAGTGCTCATATTGCCCCAAATTTAGACAGTGGGAGCCCTTTCAGAATGGTTTCTATGCATTTAGACATGACTTTGCTAGTCTTTGAAGGCAGCCTTACTTTCTGGCACAACAGCACTGACTTTCAGGTGTTTTAAAATCACACTATAGTTTTTTTTTTTTTGAGACAGAGTCTCGCTTCGTTGCCCAGGCTAGAGTGAGTGCCGTGCCGTCAGCCTAGCTACCTCCTCTCCTACCTCCTCCCCATCCCTCCCTCCCCTTCCTCCCTCCCCACCCTCCCTACTCCTCCCCGATCCCTTCCCCCATCCACCTACCTCTTTCTTAAGACAGAGTCTGCTTTGTCCAGCGTAGCTCACGGCAACCTCAAATCCTTGACCTCAAGCAAATCCTCTCAGGTCTCAGCCTGTACCCATGACGTGCTAGGATTTATGGGCAGGAGCCACAAGGCGCGCCGCAACCTAATTATATTTTTTATATATCTTCCTATATCATTGATTAGTTTAAATATAGTGAATTTAGTTTGATATAGTATATTTAGTTAGAGAAAATCTTATTTTAGCAGAATATTTCAGGTGAACTTTTTTTTTAAAGGTATGGCCTGGATTCTGTGTGGTATTGTCCTCAAAATTAATTACATGCTCAAGAAGATGGTTGATTCATTCAAATGTCAATCTTGTAGGTATGTTCTGAACCTAAGTCCAAGACCTGGATAATGGTTGGGTGTCAGGTCCTCATCTCTCAGAATTGAGGCACTTTAGTGTCAAATATATAAAATCACCGCGTAACAGACATATACTCATCTAGGAACATTATTGGTTAGCCACTTTGAAGAATATATTAGCAAGAGATTAAGAATCCTTAAGGGAAGGTAGACCAATAGCCCCATGAATACTAATGAACTATAGTGGTTGAACCATCGGAACACTAATGTAGATAAAAAGAAGAAAGATAGGGAATTAGGACTTTGGGAAAAAGCTCCATTGAGAAATAGAATTTGTGCTCCAAAGAGGAAACTTTTCATAGTGGAGTTATATGAAAGGTGTGATAGTGTGATAACTAATGACTTGGCAAATAGACAATTAGTGTGGCTAAATGGCATGCTATATATTTATGAAGACATGGCATGTTTTTGAGTTTTTAGATCGATAATGGTTGAAAATGTAAGGTAGAGGTGTAGTCAGATGTAGAAGGGGTTTGAAATGCAGATCGAGAGAATTAGACTTTATACATAACAGGGCATTAGGAACTGTTTCAAGCTATGATAGATGAATATTGATTATTTGAAAAATATTGTATGCTTGGTCTATCATAGTTATTGACTTTGTTTCTTTGGGATGTTATTTATTACTTTTTACTGTATAGACAAAAGCACACAAAATTGATCCTTCAGATACTCCATAGCAAACCAAAAAGACATCTATAAATTACAAAGCCTTTTTTCTTGTGGAATTGTTCCAAATGCAGTACTTTTTTTTTTCATTTAATAATTTATAATCTATAAGTAGTACAGTTAATTAATTTGCCTTACCTTTTTTTTAAAATTTGTAGCTCCTGACCTTGTGGAGTTTGGTTAAAAATATTAGAGTACTTTAAAATGATTTCACATATTCAGCAGTTTAAAAAAGATTTATAAACAGTAATATATGCTTTAATTATGGATTTGTGATCACAACCTTTTTATTATTCTTTAGTGTAATTAAAAATGAAATGAGGACCTGTTGCAGTTCCTTAAATGTATCCTGTGAATACTTGAGGCAAGTTCTAATGAAAACTTTGAATAAAAATGAAATGAACTAAACTATAATAGTAGCACCTTGTGAACATGTAGAAACAGATTTACAGATAAATAAATTTACGTTATTATGAATATAAGATCATAAAATATTAAAACGGTTAATGCTGAATATAAACATTATGAAGTAATAGATACTTTTATTGTATGGTATAATACTAAGATAAGAATCCCTTCAAATAATAAATGAATATTCTACAGTAGTTAATGAGCGTCCATATTGTATTAGAGGCTGTATAACTAGGGATTAGTAATATATAAGACTGTAAGATCATCTACAAGTATGGACTATTATGTGGTCTAGTAGTCTATATAATATATAGGATATAATAGTGGTATCACTCAACAATGAAACTGACACAATTATTTATGGATTATATTCATATGTAAATAATACCATGGTACTTTAGTATCTTTTTTAACCTTATTCAATTCTCGATAATAACTAGTAGGACTATTAGACCATATCATTTGAGATGGAAATTAAGTTTGGGGGAGGTAGTATACAAATTGCTGAAAATTAACATACCACCATAAATGTAAGCGGTCAGTAATGCACCAAGCAAGTGTGTCTGGTAAAGCTGTTTTGCTATCAGTATGACTTATTTTAGTGACAGTACTAGGGAGTAATAAGAGCTTATGATAGGCTAAAACTGTAGTATGGGCAGACTTTTTTTCGTTGTAAAGGACTCAGGTTAGTTAAATATTATTTAGCTTTCAGGACAATATAATCCATTTTGAAATTTATTGAGCTCTATGACTTATTATTTGCCACTAAAGTAGGTATAGCATGGAGTGGAGAGGGTAAGGATAATATGGCAGGCCTATGCTCTTGCGCAAAACACTTTATATTAATAATATAACAGGTCTGTGATCTAAATTGTGTGCTGAGGTTCTTATTCGCGAGTGTCCGCTGGTTAAAGCAGTCATAATTTTTTCTGCAACAAAACCTGAGGAATAAGAATTAGGATGGAAGGATATATTCAGTCTAACTGTGTATTAATCTTTGGCTCATTAATTGTGTGTTAATATGGATGGTGTATTACCATGTAACAAGTTTTTATTATCTTGGAACTCTTGATTTGAAAACAGCAGTATCTGTACTAGGGCTATTGTTCAGAATAGCCCTTTAGGTGGAGGTTTCAAATGATTGTGGAAATAGATACCAGGTCTATAAAATAAACTACAGATCTTTTTGTATTTTTAATCGAACAATTATAAAAATAGATAATTTCATGCTGGTTAATATCTTCATATAACACATAGAAGTCTGTGAGCTGGAGATTAAAGTCGTTTGATTACAAGTTGGTATATGTATGCCGAGAAGAGAAGACACGATGTTCTTTGAAATTTGTTTTAGTTGAGAGTTAGTAAGAAACATAAGTTAGATAGATAATCACCTCCTGATGTTTTAATACTCTTTGCTATAGAATGCATAACTGATATTCACATAGAGGATTAAACAGGAATTCACACTGCAATAAAATAAAATAAAATATTAATGAACCTTGATAGAAGTAGCCTTAGAGATTCTAAAGCATTTTATTAAGATAAGATATTCCTGTCTTAAGAAAGGTATTGCCTATTTCGT